AAAAGTAGTATATATATATTTTTTTGGGGAAAATTTACTAGCAAACATTTACCATAGTTTTTTTGTGTGGTGCAATTCAAGCTTTGACTGCTAGGTGGCGGCAGTTTTTACAACCTTCATTCTGACAAAACGACAAGATCTCATTTTAACACAAGACGTGTCTTGGAAGCATCTGGTCTGAGTTTTGCATTTTAATTCAGTCTTACAAATAGAAAATATTGTTTGGCTTTTAATAATATTTCAACAGTTTTAATAGTAATCTGTTATTAAAATGGGAGTTTCATTTAAAGGGGAATTAGGCAGTTTTGGCTTGCTTTTAGTTCCCCCTAGGGTCTGTGTGTAGAACCAAAAGCAGAACGCACGTCCTCGCTGTGCGTTCGTCTTTTTAACACATTAATCTAACAGCTGAACATGTCTCCCCAGCCTTCCTTCCTGTCTACATGAGTGATTCATCACTAAATTAAACAAATCAGCCGTGTTCATGATCTAAAACACACAGGAAACTTGCTGGAAGCAGACTGCAGCACCAGGTATGTCAGCTCAATTTTTTCAAATCCCACCAGAGCGGCCCGCCAGTCTGAAGTTGCAAGTGGAATATTCTGGCCACTGGGGGCGATAGCAGCTAGGTGACCTTAAATGAACCCTCTAAAGGATAATTTTAGCACTCCAGAAAATGTTTTAAAGATATGAAAAAGTTGCAGCGTCCCTTAAAAATAACCCGCAATAGGCGAAATCCAAAAAGTAGTCCAGCTTCATTTTTTACAACTATTATAGATCTTTGTGGCATACACAGCTGCTATTGGGGTCACACACACACGAATATACACCAGAATGTCCATTTCTCAACAGTTTATTTCCAGGATGCGTACATGGGAAAACAGTTTCATTAGCACAGACTCACGTCAGCGAAAAATCCGCAACACTACGAGGCTGTGAAATATTACAGCAGGGGACCACTGCATTGCAATATATTGTATCGTCTCCCACATATTGCGATATACTGAATATCCTATCACCAGAATCTTGATGATTCATCAAAAGGAGAGTGACAGGGATCACAAGCATGGATTGAGCTGAAGATGTTGTCTTGATGCAGAATTATTATTTTTTTATTTAAAGAAAACCCCTTCTGTTTTCTGCTTACAAGAACCCAAAAATGTTTTTTCTAAAGTAAACAAATAACAAAAACAGCCATTGTTCAGTGTGAGTGGAACTCTTCTTGGTGACTGGATGCAGTGACACAGTGGCACAGTATCTGAATATTTGACAGACTTGTCACAGTGAATTTTTCTAGGTATCATCGTCTCCCTTCAGACAACAAAACCAAACTTAAAGTCAACCAGCACACAGCGACACTGCAGCAGCATCACAGAGGTGAATCATGTTCAGCGTGTTAAAAAGCAGGTTTTAGCGCCGCATTAAACAAATTAAAATATCCTTTTCTGCGAGTGTCAATGATACATATGGTGTGTCTCACACTGATTTGAATATTTTATCATCGGCATCGCTGTGGGTGTTGGTGCTTTTCAGTTTTACATTCCAGAAATTATGAAACATTGCGTGCATATGGATTAGGATTCACCATTTGTGAGCGAGAAATGATGTTGCTTAGTTGGTTTAGAGATGGCTTTAAAAACTTCTACAATGGCAAAAGGATGAGGCTTTGCTCACAAGCACAGACTGCTGCCCCTTGGCAGGCTTCTACAAAGCCTGGCAGAAATAAGAAAATGGGCTTTTATGGGTTTAAAGAGCCTGGAGCTAATATTACAGGCAGCAGCTGAGCTGAGGGGCCACATAACAGGCAGCAGGAGATAAATAAGGATTTGTTTTGTACTGTGAATCATGCAGTATAGTGTAATGAAAATATAGACCTTAAAATAAGCAGTAAATGACCCTTTAATATCTTTCATTTTAGAAACCTATGTGTTGCATGCTTATCTTCTGTTGTTTGATTTAAAGGTGTGATTCACTCGATTAATCAATACATTTGCATTGGTCTCTAGTAGGAATGAATGCCTTGTAAGTTGTCCTCTGGGAAAAAAACTTGTGGTGCTCCTGTTTTAGGAAGTAAAAGTGAGCCAGATCAGAGCTGAACACAGCAGGATTTGGAGTCTTATTTCCTGATATTTAGACATTTCACTCCTTTGTTTAACTCCTGCTTCTTGAAACAGGAGCACCGGAGCTTTCCCCCCCAGAGTATGACTTACAAGGCATTAATTCTTACTAGAGACCACTGCAAATGCATGAAAAATATGAGTAAAATTTATCTTTAAAATGTTGTAGTAGGGCTGGGCAATAAATCGCAAATTTATGGTTATCGAAACTTCTGACTGTTATCGAGATAGTTTTCCCCATGTCAATAAATTTGGTAATAAATACAATGAAAAGACCTGTGTAGGTTGGCAACATTCATGTCTCTTTAAGAAGCTGTACCACCTTGAGTCAAGTAAAAATGTGACTCAATGGCCGTGTTCGAGATAAGCCAATTCTGTGCAGATTGGATCAGCGGTGATCGGCGAGCAGTGCGTGCCGGTTAGATTTGTGTTCAACGTGACGCCGACTTGCTCTGACGTCATGCATACGTAGGCAACGGTAACCTCGTGAGATCAAGGCGGCCGCAGACTTTGGAGCAAGGCGCTGCAGTTGCTCTCCACCGGCTGCAAAACCTAGGGGATGACGGAAAGCACCTAGCTCTCACCTGATCTTAGATCAGGTGATTGGTTGGTTCACATTTTGATCCGAACATCCGGTGGTAGAACATGAAATGTTAGTTGGTCACATGTATTCTGTAAATCATGTAACGTTGATGATGACTACAATATAGGCCATAAAGAGAAATGTGTTTTGTGTTAGGGTTAGGGTTAGCACACTAAACCTACAGCTGCTAACCTTTACTTATTATTACAGTCATGTCTTCATATACAATATATGATATCCACAAGCATGTGAGGACGTGTTTCAGCTGCTAACAGGCACCTGAATTAAAATTGAAAATTAAACGGGTGTGAACGCTAACGCAATATCTTAATCCATCGTCACCCCCCGAGCTACACATGCAGGGAAATCTGTCCGACTTTAACGCCGGCTTTCAGCCACTCCCCCTGCTGCTTCCGTCTGTTCTCGTCTGTTTTCCAGGCGAGGTGCTGCTCAACTCGAACAAGGCCAACATAATACATGTGACAGCCCCATCTAGTGGACAACTTTTGTTACTGCGCATACATGTAGTTATCGTTCAATTATCGTTATCGAGGTGAACTCCTCAATATATCCTGATATTGATTTTAGACCATATCACCCAGTCCTATGTTGTAAATAGTTTAATCACAAAATTCCTATTTAAAGCTATGACAGGTTTCAGGTTTTTAACACATGTAAAATCTAATTAATATACATGTGGATGTATGTTTTTAGTTCAAGTCGAGACTTCAAGAGGATTACTAAGCAAAAAGGTCAAAGCGTGATGGACTTACTTTTTCTGCTTTTACTGACAGCTTGAGTTGTTTGCTCCAAATAAACCAAAACAACATTTTTCATCAAACAAATTCCAGATTTCTCAGTTGACAGATCAGATTTGCAGGATGACGTCTTGTCAATTGACAATGTAAATGATCAGTCCAGACAGTGTATTGGTCATGAGAGAGAGCTGACATCTCTCCTTACAAAAAAGCTACTCTTTGATGATTTTGAGCTGATTGGACTTGATTTATCATCCAGAAAAGATTTAATTATCACCAGATAGATTTTTTTATTAAAAATGTGTTAAATTAACCTCTATTGATTTATTTTAGAGATGAAGACTGATATTGTCTCATTTTCTTTATGAAACATTAAAAAGATGTATTAATTTATAGGAAATGCACATGAATGCCACATTTTAACCTGGTTTTCATCAATCTTAGCAATATAATGCACAATACGTTCACTTATTTCTGGAAGTTGTAACTTTAATTTCCACAAATATTCCTTTAAATGTGTCTTTGTCCCGCTTTTCCCTTTTTAAGGTCACATTACTTTCAGTTTTCTACCCTGAAGCTTTGATGTCCTGTTTGGTCTATTTCTATGTTTTCTTTTCATACAACCTTTATATTTTGTATTTTATCCTAACTTTCTGACATAACTGACAAACGACAACCTACATATTTAGCAATATTCTGTACTGAGCGACCTTCTGGAAAGATTTTATAATGTTTTCCTTTGTTTCTGCCGACGGCGCTCTTGTTCAGGCCATGTTTCCTGTCAGTCAGCCAGGTGCAACAGCTTGTTAGGGTTTGCACAAGTCTGTTATTTAACCGCAAACTCATTCACATATTTAAAAATGCAGATTTATTTTATTTGTAGTGTTTTTTTGACTGCTTTATATCCACAAATTATAAGGTGTTTCTGTAACTTTCTAACTTTCTGGAAAAAAAGTGATCAAAACAAATAATAGATTTTTTTTTCCACTAAGGAAAACAGCAGAATGAATGTCTTCCAAGAGTGCTGATTTCATGTTTCTTTGCTAATGGCTTTATGTACCCCCCAATTAGAATTACAGCTGGTGCATTTGATCATGATCACACTATTGTGATTGTGTGGACAAAAAGAGAAAAAAGCAAAAGTATTATTGACTAGGGATGCAAATTATCGAGTAATTCATTAATCGATAGTTGTTTCATCTTATCGATCGATGATCGATTAATTGATAAGCAGCGATTTTTCTGAAAAATTGAATTAACCTCTGAATAGGTTCCATCTACTATATATGCAACATAAAATGCCATCTTCTATATGATATAAAGAAAAAATGCAAATAATATTCCTTAATCAAAGATTTATTCTGGGATCAGGTTGACGGCAGGGAATAACTTTTGGTAGCAGCTACTTGAAATGAAAATACATTTGTGCTTCTCATCTGCGACTGCGACATTGGAACATAAATAGCAGCAGCATTCCTGAAAAGAAAAATAGAATATAGGCTACTTTAACATAGTGCACTGTCTCTATGAAGAATAATAAAATAAATTCTGTTAAGCAAATAAGGTGTCGGATGTGGACCATCAGCAGTATTTATAATCCCTTTTTAACTGGGAAATGTGACAATATCACAATTACATTGGTAAACCAAAACTGTAGCTCTAGTTAACTTAATATAGGCTCCCTGATGACAGTCTTCATAAAACAAACAACCAAAACATCCCTAGTGCTTCTCATAGCATAGACAGACTTATCTATTTTTGTTCAAGAATATCAGCAAATCCACATGGTCAGGAGTAAGTCGGGTGCGCAGCCTGTTAACAGTTAGGCCAGCTGCTGAGAATACTCGCTCAGAAGGGACTGATGTGCCTGGTATGGCCAAGTACTTTCGTGCCAGGTTTGCCAGCCTTGGAAACCTTCCTTCATTGACTTTCCACCATGTTGTGGGACTGGAATCAAGGAGTGGTGGCGGATCCTTCAGAAAGCTGTCCACCTCTTTTTCTACATCATTGGTGCTCCTGGTGGTATAGTTTTCACCCATGAGCAAAGCATACGCACTGCGTCTCTGAAGTCCAGCTGCCTGGACTGGCACCGCCCGGCCCCCAACCAACTCCTGCTGGCCTCCAATCGCATCTGCTGACGTGGCGCTCTTGCATTCGGCTTCTGCTTCAGTCTCAGCCAGAACTTCAAGCAGTTTGGCATGAGCTGTAACCCTCCTTGGTGGGGTCAGAAATCCCAGGTGCTTGTGCCTAGGATCCAGCATGGTTGCTATCATTGGTGGTGTTGACATCAGGTCATCAGAAGCAATCTGTGAAGAAAACAAATAATTATATCTAAAGTGCCTCTTCACTCCCTGAATATTGTAAAGCTGCTGAAATACTGAGCTGCCTTAAATCAAAACTCAACTTTTTAGAATTGCTTTTGAATTATGTCATAGCACATCATTCATCATTTAGTTTCTTTTCAACTTGCTGCAACAAGCTAATATCGTACTTTTTTCTTTGCCTTGTCTGCCGTTTTTATATTGCTGTCAAATTGTTTTTTTTTTTTTTTTGCAAATTTAATAATTTAAAGCACCTTGAATAACTGCTGTTATTGTGCTGTAAGTGTGCTATATGCCTTGCCTAAATGTTTGTTTTTAATTTTTTTAAATTGATTAGGTGTTTATTTAGTGATCAGATTGGAGTTAAAAACTACCATTGTCAAACAATGTGCTTTGTATGCAATGCATACAGTTAAAAAATATCTGCAATCATTAAATTTAACTTTTAACTTACCTTCATCCTTTCACTCAGTGAAGTGCACACTCTGGATTTGAATTCCCCCACTTTGCTGGTGTCTTCCTCGTCTGTCTTGAGATGCACGTTGATCAGGCTGAAGGTGATGGGATACGTGTCTGATACGGACACCTCAGTCTCAGCAGACATGACGGTCGTTGCACACTTGAGCGTTTCCAGCACTGGCGCCACATCCTCCATCAACTGCCAGTATTCATCTCTCAATTCCAGCGTCCTCGCATCTGAGAGTTTGGTTACTGTGCGGTCAGACAGTACAGCAGACACGGCCCACCTCTGCTCCGTTGGTCTGTTAAACATTTCACTGACTGAATTCCACCTGGTTTTGCAGGATTGGATGAGTTTATGAGACGGCAGCTGCATTTGTTGTTGTTTAGCTTTGAGCGCTATGTTTGCTAGGCTACTATGATTGAAGTGTTGCACGAGTCTGCTAGCAGCTATAATGACTCGGTTAATGTAGGTGGTGAATCCGTCGTTAATGGCCAACTGCAGCGTGTGGGCGAAACATGGAACTGAGTGCCAGTTGACTCGTGTGGGACTGTTTGCTGAGACGATATTCCGTGCATTGTCGTGCACACATGCAACTACACGCCCCGTGAGTCCCCATGTTTCCACAGCCTGGTTTAGCTTGTCGGCTAAATTGTCTGCCGTATGCCTCACCGTTATACTCTCTGTGAGTAGGACTGCTGACTTTACCCGCCAGTCCGGTTCAATGTAGTGGCATGTCACTGTGATGTAGCTTTCCGTAGTCAAGGAAGTCCAACAGTCTGTCGTGAGGGCCACATTCGCAGTTGCAAGTTGCGTTCTCAATTCGGTCTTCTTCTTCGCGTAACTTGCTTCCAAGCGAGTGGTTATAGTTGTTCTAGAAGGGATATTGTACCCTGGCTCAACGTATTTTATCAGTTCTTGAAATCCCTGTCCTTCAACGACATTTATCGGCAGCATGTCTGTAGTAACCATGTTACATATTCGCTGGGTAATGCCCTCTGCTTTTGTGGAGTCACATACCCTTCTTCCCAATGCCATGGCGATTGTAGGCTGAGTGCCACTCGCAGTTTGTAGCACGGCTGAATGTGACGTACTTAGGTGGTAGTTCAACGAAGTTGTAGATTTGTTGTACTTCAGAATACTTCCACATATTGTGCATTTGGCATCGTTGTCATTGACCAGCGTGAAGTGGCTCCATACTGCACTCCGTTTTGTCCTCCTCATCCTCTGCGTACTCTTTCTCCTCTGTTGTTGTCGTCGTCGGAGCCTTCCTCTCTCGTTATCACGCATGTGCGTCAAGTACGTCTGGTGTCAAGCGCGCCCCCATGCGGACTGGCGGGGAGTTACATGTTTAAAACGCAATTAATTGCAATTAATTTATTTTAATCGAGTAATTTCTTATCGACAATTAATTGATAATCGATTAATTGCTTGCATCCCTATTATTGACATTTATTTTCGATTGCCGAACATGAAAATAGTAAGCATGGACATTTCCAAAGGGTCTGACTCGAATGGAGAATCCATCACAATAAAAACAAACAAATAAAATAAAAGTCATTTAAACCATTGCTTTGCTATGACTCAGTCCCGAACCCGTTGTTTGCTGAGGTTGGTATTCTGTAAAGGTGGGAGCAAAAGTACAACGAGACACTAACAACAAATATGAATTATGACTCAACCAAACATGTTTGGTTTATGAAAGTAAACACAAGAAGGACCACAGCTGACAGGAACAAATCCATTTAAATGTATTTTGATAAAGAAAAATGTTGAACAAAAACGAGACTGGCTCCCTTTTTTAATTAGCATTTGTGGAGAACCGAGTGTTTCAACTGTCGTTAAGTTGTGTGATTTATGGTGTTGAGTTGCCCTTATCGACTTATGAGATATTTTGGTCACATGAAGGAATCAAAGCTCAGTAACTTTTGCCTCTTTTAGAAAACAATGCCGCCAACTTGCCACCATGCCGTGGAGGCTTCAGAAAGCCTTAGATCCTTTATAAATAGTCAGACTGTGATGGTTATGTGGTGCAGTCGTGTCCTTTTTACAAAAGATTACGCTGTGGCGGTATAAAGGAGGAATGGGGGTGGTTTCTGTTCTGCCGCAGACTTCCGTTTATCTTGGACTTAACTTGCTTTTTACTGCGATCAAAGCCTAGTTCATCAAGTTTTTAAAACAAGTCGCACCCAAAGGCGTTTGTCCCTCACAGTCCCCGTGCAGTCTCTGGTGATCTGAGCTCCAGCTCTAATGGAGAGAAGCTCCTGGAGTGCTGCATCACCTCAGTTTATCATCTCAACTGGTTCTGTGAACAAAAGTGAAACTTACTGCCCTTGTTTAGTTTCATTTTCAATATAGTTTCCGGTCGGAGCTCGGCAGTAACTCCGCACGTGATTGTGACACCTCACTTTTTTGCGCCAAGGCGTAACATGCATTCACAAGTCTGGCGTTGTGGTAATATTTCTACCAAGCATGGCGGCAAGAATGCCACAAAATTCCTGAAACGCCATGCCACCACAGCGCGCTCATAAGACACATTGTGGCAGCAGTGTTACACTGATTTGCTGGTATGGTGTGTCTTCTAAAAAGGGCTTTTGATAGATTGCTTCTTGAACACCTCTTTCAAACAACTGATCTTTCTTTAGAAGCATTTTTGTCCACTAAGGAGTGTCCATTATCCTTGACAGGAGTCAGTTCTCCTGCGCTGTGTCATGTGTTAGCCTAGTTGTTGTAGTTATTGCTAAACGGGTAAACTAGCAGTAGCACATCCAACGTCAAGGAAACAAAAAGTTATTATCAGGAGAGGGAGAAAGTTTAAGTGGTTAGCAGCAGTGTGCTAGACGATGGCCCCCTCCATGAGGCCACCACAGCTCAGCAGAACATCATTGTAGCTTCTTCTGGGGAGAAAAACACTTAAGAGAAAAAATAAAGTTAATAGCTGAAATTGCAGAAAGTAATACAATTAAAGAGCAGATTGTAGAAGAAAGTAGTAGAGTGTGAAAAGTGGTCAGTGTATCCTCCAGCAGTCTAAGCCTATAGCAGCATAACTAAAGAGATAACTCTGGATAACCTAGCCTTTTTAGATGGAGGCATGTTGGAGGCAGGGCAAGGGAGAGTCATCTTTACCGACTGTACACTCCACCTCTCTCTACTCCCCCACTTGTCCAGATCTAGGCCAACATCAGATTTTAACCATAAGCCCTATCAAATAAAAAGGTTTTGAGCCTATTCTTAAAAGTAGACAAGGTGTCTGCCTCACAGACTAAGACTGGGAGCTGGTTCCACAGGAGAGGAGCCTGATAACTAAAAGATCTGCCTCCCATCCTAATTTTAGATATTCTGGGAACCACCAGTAAACCTGCAGTCTGAGAGCGAAGTGCTCGGTTAGGAACGTATGGAACAATCAGGTCACTGATGTATGTGAGAAGAATACCTACTGTATTGTAGGGGATTTTCTTTACGTACGTATGCAATGGCCTCTCCCCTCCTTACATAGTTGAGTTGCTGACTCTAAAAGCTCCTTCGAGCTCAGTCAGGTCAGCTGATCATTTGCTGCATTCCTAAGATTTGCTATAAATCTAGGTGGGTGCATGCTGTCTCATATGCAGCCCGTGTGTGGAACTCATTGCCACTTTGAGTGCAACAAAGCCCGTCCCTTATCAGGTTCAAATCCGCTCTCCAGAAACATTTCTTTAGTGTTGCTTTTGGTCGGTGATCAACCACCTTAACACCTGCTAGACCTCTCTGGGGCCTATTTCAGCATCCTGACCTCACTCATGTGGTTTTTCATAACCACTGATTTATATTCACCCATTATTACATAAGCCGTGTAGTTTTTTTTACCTACTCCTTGTTCTTAGCCAGTAGTTTATTCTATTGTCACATTCTTACATTGTGCATCACTATTGTTTTCTCTTTTTTATGCCTTTTAGCTGTCCTCAGGTTTTTAATTTGCCTAGTTCACCCTTTGATTGTACAGCACACTGGTTAGCTCTCATGCAATTGTGCTTTATAAATAAAATGGTATGGTATGGTAAATCTTACCTGGTATTTTTCAACCCATGCATTGCTGTTCATGTCTGCAGGGTCACATGAAGCATAATGAGGCAAGTTTCTTCAAATAAACACAATCACAACATAATTATACAATCATTGAAATTCTGGTCCTTCGTCATCACAGCTTTAGAAATAAATACTGGAAAATTATCATGTCCTTAAGTAATGAACAAGATAAACATTAATGTGTCTTCCAAATGATTATTTCCTTTGGGTGCAGAAACCTCGTTTTCAGTGTGGATTTATTGACTTGATTTTATGGGAGGGATAGAAACAAAGCGACTAAACAGCAGCAATCTATCAGTAGTTATTTTAGTGATTAACTGTGACCATTGTTATTCTGGTTAACATTTAATACATGTAAATAAGATCTGCATCTTTAAAAGTAAAGGCTATATAATTCTTCCATAACATAAAATAAAATATTCGGATGGTTTTGAAGCAGACAGCGTTGCTGGTAGGACAAACAGGATTTTTTGTTATAAAAAAAAAAGTACCTTTTTGACATCATTACTTAAAAAATTTAATGAAGAATAACATATATATATTTTTAAATGTGGCTTGGCAGTGTTCTCTGTAACTGGAACATTTTATCAGACCAAATGAGACCAGGAATAGGTGGTTCCTACAGTGATATGTCAGATCTTATGAATCTATTACACACGTGTGTAGTTTTTAGAATTAAAATGTCATAATAGTTCATAAGAATGACATAACCTTTACACTACCATAATTTCAACGTTTTGTCACTATTCTGAGAGAACTGAAATGAAATTCCAGTCAAGCATAACCTAACCCATTTCCTTCAACCTACCCTATAGCTACTGCAAATAACCACAGCCTGCCATGTAAATAACCAAGTTGTGTGGAATTTAGGGTGGTGAATTTATTTATAAAATTGCATTTGCACGATTCCTTTGAGATTTGAGTTGTTTATAGGCAGCAGAAAAACTACCCAGTTTCAAAGATCTATCTACAGCACGTATGAAATTATCAGCATTTCCACTAGATGAGTTCTGGGACTTTTGTGGGAGGGGGGAAGGTGAGAGGGAAATAACGATGACTCAGCTCTCTCAGTCGTTGTGTGTCCATACAAAATTGGCTGTTTATAAAATTTGCTAAGACATCAGCGTATGGCAACCATTTCAGCAGCAGATGTTACTGATCATCACCTTACATTAATAATGCTAATACATTAATATTATAAGAGACATTTTATTCTGTCAAAGTACACATATTTTCTGCTGTGTGATGTAAAAGGAATCATTCAGTGACCAAAAGAAACGCTCTGTAGGAGACAACAAAGCAGCATAAATAAAAGCATTGTGAAGGAATTTTCTACAGCATTTCTGGTGTTCGATGTTTGGAAACAGCTATTTTAATCTAGCATCAATGCTGCTAATTTTCATTTTCTTCCATTCTGCTTTTAGTCTGGAAAATATATGTGAACATATAGTCTGGCCTCAATCCAAAGACACAGTTCAGTCATGGGACAGAATCTACGGGTGTTTTTCAAACTGTCTCCACATGCTATTGGACAACGTACATCGTGACTCAGATGTTATTCAACGGGGCAGTCTGCCATACACCATTGAAGATGACATAGATACATATTTTTTCTAAATAATTTACTTAAGTTACTCTGTCTGCTCTTGACTCAAATAAAAGCCCAAGTGTAAATAGTCCAAAGTTGTTGACAAAGCCATTTCAAACGAGCCTCCGCCATCTTAGTTGTACAGCTTTTCTTCCTTTCTGTGTCTGGAGAGTTGAGTTCACCATTGGATTCACTGCCTGGAGCTTGGCTTGTGCTCACTCTTTAGTCACAGATGCACTTTATGTCGAAGATGAGTTTAATGGCAGCATTAAACATCCATAGCCTCAGGTGCTGAATGCAGATGACTGCGCTGTGTCTGTCAGGTGGAAAGACAAGAGTGACAAATGAGAGTGATCATTCTCTCTTAGCTGCGGTGTGCTGTTTTACTTCACTTGCGCGGGGATGGAAGCAAACACACTCCAGTATCTGCATTCACGCATGGACGGAGCCATGGACACAAATTGGATTGTCCCCATAAACATGTTCATCATGGTCAGTAAAAAATGTTAATGATGAAAACGTTGGCAGAGAAGATTGATGGCCGTCTAAATGTCGTGTGTTTTTAGGTGTCCCTTAAAATGTCACTTGTGAGACAATGTAGGTTTTTATTGATTGACAAGGGTGCGGCCCACTGCTTCTTATTGCTGCTGAAGATAATGTGCTCGAATCCCACTTATTTTACTTGACGAGCGGTCATCATTTGTCTTTACACACTACTAGAACATTGTGTGAAACCCAGACAGGGAAGGATGCATGCAAGGATGTGCATGTAGTTAGCATTGCGTTGTTTATTGCCTGTGTGGGTGTGCACACCATCGCGTGTGCAGGCATGTGTCAGTGCTGAGAGCCAACAGCTTAGTAATAAAACACTGGTAAAATATTGAAAGTCATAAAAAGGCAGATAATTGGCTTTTCAGGTTGGTGAAATGGATCACTTCTAACACAGCTGTTGAGAAATGGCTGCTGAGAGGAGTGAGTCAGGCAGATGGAGGGGAGAGTGTAATTTTGAGAAAGACGGGGTGGGGGGTGGGGGGGCTTACACCTATATATTAAATAGTAGAAAAGAAAACTAGAAAAGAGGAGAACAGGGAAAATATATGTGATAAGGAATGGATAGAAGAATTAACCAGAGCAGTGAAAAATAACAGAAGGAAGAAAACAAAATGGGATCAATACAAAGAGAGAGAGGGCGGGGGGGGGGGGGGGATAT